GAAAAAGCTTTCGTGTACTCGCCCATGTTATCATACACTGATCCAGTGTTGTTGTAGTAAGTTGCCAAGTCGGAATGATTCGGAGGAAATGTTTTTTTTTGAATATATCAACTACTTTTTCGAAAAATGAAAGTACTTTTGCGTACTCGTCTATTTGATCATATGCCGAACCGATGTTATTGTAGAAAATAGCCAAGTAGGGATGATTTGAAGGGAGAGATTTTTCTTAATATCAAGTGATTTTTCATAAAATTCGATTGCTTTTTTGTAGTCTCCTTGGCTGCCCTTGATCACTCCAAGCTCGTTGTAAGAGTAAGATGTATCGCTCTCGTTGGATGCCTGCTGGAGTAGCATCATGTAAACTTGTTCAGCCTTGTCATTTTCACCCAGTTTCCATAACAAGAAACCCATTCGTTGCCATCTTGTTCCAGGGAGCTCCTCTCGCATTCCTTGGATAAGAACATTAAGTTGTTTGTCGTCGTTATCATTGGTGAGTGTAAGTTTCACTTGCCAAAAGGTCATTTCGCTATCTTCTATTTCTTTGATACGCTGAATGCGAAAAACCGTAAGCGTTGAAAAGAGAATTTCATTTTCTGTCTGGAAATAACTAATTTCGTCGATGCCAGCAAACGGAGCCGATGAAACCGATCGATTAATTGTCATCGTGAACAGTACACCGATTTTGTTCTTGTTATTGGATTTGAGCCCTTCCTCAATAAGTCGAATGGCTGCATTTCGGTAGTCACTTGTGGATAAGAAATTATTGAATGACATAAGTCCACCTTGTTTTATTTTATTGTCAAAATCTTGCTTTGTCATCGTTTTACCCCAGTAGACTGTTATTGTTTTCGGTCCATCGGACATATCAATCGACTGTTTCGAATGAAGTTTCTGGATGTTTCGATGAAGATCTTGAATAAAGATGCCCATTTTAAGCAGGGTCTCAATTTGTAGAATGCCAAGGGCTTTGTTGAGCATGTGATATGTAAAACATTCACGAGTATACCACCAAATTGGCTTATTGTCTTCGTTCAGATTACGTTGGTAGTTTTGAACGAATTCGTCAATCACCACCAAGTGTTCGTCATTGCCAGCATACTTCTTACGGGAGTAATCGGCTAAGCCATTGATTTCTTTCTTTTGATCGAAATCGATTACAATAATTGTTTCTTTGAAGAGTTGTGCATACATAAATGATAGTTCGATTTGATTCAATGACGATACAGCACTAATCATAACTGAATCTTCATCACATTGTCGAGCAGATTGTCGAATTGAGTCACAAATTGGAGTAATTTCTGTGAAAATACCTTTCACTTTGGACCAGTTTTTCGCCCATTCTTCATACTTTTCTTTTTTTCGACAAAATACATAAATTGAATAGGGTTGAGTCATGTTGTGAATACGTGGCACGACAGTTTGACATAAAGCACCGGAAATTAGTAGTAATGTCTTTTCATTTGGAAATTTCGACATATAATGTACACATTCTTCCGTATCTCGGAATGTTTCAATAGTATTAACTGTGCATCGCAAGTGTCTAATTGAATTACGGTAATCCTCACTGGATTCATCGACTTTTGCATCAAGCCAAATTAAAAGAAAGTTTTGAACAGTTTCATTTGAATTAGTTCGATGATCCTGTTTTTCAATGCCACGTGAGTCTGACTGCCGATTTAAAGTAGTCGATAACGATGATGATGACGTTACTGTTTTAGTTGGATGGTGATGATGACTATGGACTATTCATATATGAGGTCATTATTACCTTCTTTCCATTTTGCACTAATTACAATGATGCTGAAAACTTTTTTCTTGTCGAAAGAAAGAGTACAATGAAGAACTTAACTATACAGAAGAAACAAGCCGACTGAGAAATGCGATTGGAAGTCAATTTACATTTTTCCTGATGCGATAGTGATTGCCATTTGTTCGATCAAGTTCTTCGTCCTAATAACATTTTCGATATATCTTCACGTGACACTTTGAAATCGAAAACTTATATATGAGAGAAGATTTTCTTCTCAAGAGAAAAAATAGTTTGAAAAACTGCTTTTTAATTCTCTGTGAGTATGCTGAATTTTTCTTCGAAAATGATGAAACAGCGAATGGATCGAACTTGTTCAAATTTTATACCATAGCTTCTGAGTTGTCGTTGCTTTAACACAATTATCATGTTTTCTAGTTCGAAATATGGGTACGTTTCATCGAGAGATAGAATAAAATAAAAGTAACTAAACAAAATCGACTAAAGTCGATCGAAAAAGCATACAGTGAGGGCTCAAAAAAGCATGTACATTTTTGTTTTTACGCATAAACGAATAATAAGGATATTCTGAAAGTTTTCTCTCATATCGGACTTTGTAGAGCTTTTTTCGCTGATCATTTTGGTAAAAAAAGTTTTTGATTTTCATTGAGTAATGACGATGTTATAGTCAAAACACTAAACACTGTAATATAAAGTAGGGGGAAAAGTTTAGCACGCTTTTTGTATTTGGCTAATTTTTACGTTATTTCACAACATCTGAAAGATGTTCTTTATACCATTCGACGCAGAATTTAATGGGCTACATTTTGATAACACGCACTTACACTTATATTGCAGTTAATTAATTAATTAATAATTAATAATCATCAGCAATTAATTAATAATATTTTAATTTTTTTTTTAAATTCCAACTCTTTCATATGAAAGAGCATAAAAAACTGAACGAAACTCTATAATTACTATTTGGAAAGCAACGAATTTAGTATGCGTAAAAACAAAAATGTACATGCTTTTTTGAGCCCCCACTGTATCTTCTTGATATTTTTCTATGAATCAAATGATACATAGGAGAAGTTGACTTTTTCTTACAAGTAGTTAAAGGGAAGATTTTGTAATGCTGCCACGTAGTAACAACCTGTTTGTTTCAAAAGAATTACAAATATTTTTCAGCTTAAGATATCAATTATCACATCTCAAGAAAAATGTGATTTTGTTCAATAGTTTAGCTGGAAGATACCTAATTGAATACATCAGTATTTGTTCAGTAGTGGCTCGCTCGATACTGGAAATGAAGTGATAAAAGTGTATCTATTAGACAAGTAAAATATCATTTACTTGAAAAACATTTCCGAAAGAGGAGGTTATTTGAGAATTAAAAGAAATGTCGAGATCGTTTACTAACGATCAAATATCGGTGACGACGAGTACAATGTGTATTGACCAAAACTCTATTCTGGATTTTATGTCGATGACTTTTTAGAAATATGCTGAGAAGATGATCGCAAGAATCGTAAAGTCTTTGAACAATTTTCAAAATGAGACTTACGACACATCGATCGCCCGTCACAATCGAAGGCTTAATTGAAGCAGTCAAGTGAGATAGACAGTGTAGGACAACTCGCCTAAATAACTACATCGGTAGTATCAAATCTGATAAACAGCATTAAAAAGCGAACTTAAGCTCTGATCATTTCATCTGATGACTATATCATGTGCCGATTTTTCGAGCTGTGACGAGGAACGACGACTCTGGTTGAATTCTTTATGAATTATCAGTCACTTATCAATAAAACTCACTCCATAAAAGAAGAAAATATTATGATAGACGAATGGATTATGCGAGATTTTCCTATGTATGCTGAGATATAGATCACTCAATAAGAAAATCTTCTCTCTTAGTTCGAGAATTCAGCTTTAATGTAACTGATTTCAGCACAGTAGATGCCTTTGGTCACAGAGAAAGACAGTTTCTCGAGTTCTCATGCAGCGATTATCAACTTGAAAGATATCCTCTAACAATATATCTTTGTTAGCCTGGCCAAATAGAAAAAAATAATTGTTAATCGCTGCTACTCTCTATGCTATTCATGCTGACCACACCATATATGGATGCAATCTTGGGAGGACTAGCTGTTGACACAGATGCACTGTAATCCATATTTTATTTAATGTCAAGAATTATTTGTATGAGTCGTCAACGTGAAATCACGAATGGGATGCTATTCAACGATAAAGTTCCTTTATTCAAACGAAAGTTTTCTTTGACAATGATTTTTCTTTTTCAATTATCAACGTATGACTTTTTTTCATACTCAAGAATGTTGCCTAGCTTTAAGGCCCCCCTCAGAAATTTCATTTTTTGGTAAAATAATCGCAGTCGAGTTTTTATCGTAGGAAGATGCAGCGAAGTTTCCTCTTTCAGAATATATATAAATTTTTAAAAAAAGGTCAAATTTTTACAGATTTTCGTAGGAGATTTCCACCTCACTACCCGATTTTCGGAGAGATTTTCGCGGTTTTTGTAATTTTTGGGAAGACTACTTTTTTACTTCTATCAGCATGGAATAAACATTCTTATATCATATAGTACGGCCTGTAGCGCTAGCTTACGCCATCTATTGCGTGCTTTCAAAAATTCCACATAAATATTATCCATATACCATTATTTCCTGCATTTGAATGAAAAATCCATTTCTAAAACTTCTTTAGCGTTTTTCTCAGAATACGATTTCTTAGCAGGAAAATTGGAATCACTTCGTTTCGGCTCTGGGTATTATTCAATATTTTTTTTTGTTTGAAAGCTCTGAATCAGGGCTAA